AAACCCTATAGCCTAAACCCTATACCCTACACCCTAAACCCCAAACCCCTTAAACCCTAAAGCACGTTGCCTGTTTCCGTCTCTTCTTCTTGGGCTTCTCGGGGTCCAGCTCTACAACGCCATCCACCTGTTTAGGGTTTAGGGTTTAGGGTTTTAGGGTTTAGGGCTTAGGGTTTAGAGTTTAGGGCGAAACCGCAAAGCTTGTTGGACAAAACATGTGTAGGATTTAGAGTATAGGGTTTAGGACTTAGGGCTTAGGCGTTGGGATTTAGGGTTTTAGGGTGTAAGCTTCGGGATTTAGGGTTTAGGGTTTGGGGTTTATGGGTTTAGGGTGGGTTCCTGGGGTTTGGGGATAGTGGGTCAAATAGGAATTTGCCCATAACAGGGATGTCAAGAATGATGCTCATGATACCAAAAGGAATCTGAATACCAATGATGATGCTGCCACCTCTACTTTTCATAATAAAGTTAACTGTAACGGTCGCATCAGAAGTCCAGAATGTGCAGAAAAGGGGCACCGGGGTACCGTTTACTTCTCCCAAAAAAGCTCCAAAAAGAACCAGTATCCAGCTGCAATGTCGGCAGCGTACGCAACGGGGAACTCTTACTGTCCATAAGCCCTATAAACCCAAATCGGTGCCTACATGGCTGTGGTTGGACCATATGCTGCGAATGGTTAGTAAATTCTCATGCAGGGGTTAGCCGTCCTAGTTCCTGCTGTTATCATCGCTAGATATTGCCCTTTTGTATGTTTCCGTGGTGGTTTATGGTTGCGGCAACCTCCGATTATTTTGCTGCTTTCCAACTCATGCGTGGACAGCTGAGTCGTATCGAAAAGTGACTGAAAAGATAACCCTAAGAAATCCCGATAGCCAATTTTTGTATGACTGGAAAACCGGAACAAGCCTTGGTTGTGGTGACATGGCGATATGATATCTACTAAAACTTCAGCAAAGAGTTCATATTATGTCAAGGGGAAGGCCCTGCTTGTGTGGCAGCTAGTTTTGGCTGATTCTCCGCACCGGCTGCTTGCCTCAATGCTTGAGGTCCGCACTGACCATGCAGCTATTCAGGGATGACACCACCATTAAGCTTCTGTTTAAGGTTTAGGGGCTCTACATGTGAGGCAGGTTTGTTTTGCCCACGCTAGCATAATATGAGCATCCCAAATACAATTCTGACAAGGGTCAGAGAGTGAAATATCTGCTGCACTCACCGAGGCAGCAAAAAAAAACAACAACTTCAAACAGAACCACAAGTCGATTGAGCGCCTCCTGGCGGAAGAGGAAGTGTCATCCGTAGTTTTAAGAGTTAAATGCACACTGTTGCAAGTCTACAGCCAACATGCTGAGGGAACTCTGTATACTACTGCTTACTACGTAGAGACATCAGCCATGCAACAGTGCTTGATATCGCAATTGAGACTGGTCATGTGCATCAAGGATCAGAAAGGACATCCCTCCAACATAGGGGCATCCCCTGAATCCTCTGGATGCTCACTTTACAGTAGCCACAATGACTATCAAGAAATCATTCCACGTCCACGAGGGACTTGCAGACCAATACGCATCTTTAGCGCGCAAGGCCGGACCTACGAACCTACGACATGCTGGGCATTCAAAAGTCCTGCGTGTGAAACATGAATCTAAGGTCTTATGCCAAAAGCCATGCCGTTGTCACTTCAGCGTCATGGATGGAGTGGGCAGCCGACAGTAAGAGCCGATCAGTAGGCCTGATCATGGGATCCTGTACTACACCCCCCCTCCCCCAATAAACCCTAGACCCTGAGTGAGCCATAGTCTACATTCCTAGTATCCGCCTTAATAACTATGGCGCAAAGCATCGTTTGGGGTCTATGTTGGGCAGATGTTCGTCACCTGAAGCGTCGAACGGCAAGCCAGGAGCCATGGAAGGATTGGAGGGAGATGCACTGTCTCCCATCCTGCTTATCGCCTTACTGGTGGTTCAGGGTTTGGGATGACATCTCTAGGGTTTAGGGTTTAGGGGCCTTCCCTACTAACCACCAGTAAGTCACGGAAAAGGACGGAGAACTCTTCCCAAGCAGATCGGTGATCAGATTGGATCACCTGGGCATTTTCACAAAAGAGAACATTTTTGGGGGACCGCATCTATGTGGACCATAAGGAGAAAACTTGGGCCCCCCGAAATTACACTGGTGTTTAAAAAACATTGCTTTAACCCCCTCCCCCCCACCTTTCTATTAACATTCCTGCTAGCTTGAGGACTATTTGGAGGGTTGGTATTAGAAACTCCTAAACCTAGACACTAAACGCTAAGCCCTAAAAACGTGAAACCCTTGCTACTTGAAGCTCTAAGCCCTAATCTCTAAACCCTGAACTCTAGACCCTAAACTCTTGACCCTGAACTCTAGACCCTAAACTCTGAACCCTAAACTGGTAACTTTGAAAAACTCTCAGCCCTAAACTTTGAACCCTAAACTCTGAACCTTAAACTCAGAACCCTAAACCCTTAAGCCTCCCGCCTCCCCGTCCTGGGTTACACTGAGCCATGTCCCATGAGCAGCAGACCGCAGAGCTACCTTGGACTTCCCGTCAACCTGAGTCGGTAAGGTTTAGGATTAGGGATTTGGGTTTGTAACTGTTTAGGGTGTAGGGTTAGGGTTTAGGGTTTGGGGCTTAAGGGTTTAGGGGTTTAGGGTTTGGGGGTTTAGGGGTTAGGGTTTAGGGTTTAGGGTTTTCAGGGTTCAGGGTTTAGGGTTCAGGGTTACAATGAACATCAAAGTGAATTTACTATAGGAATTGGGGTTTAGGTGCCGTTTTTCTTCAACTTCTTGGATTGAAAGTCGACTCTACTACTACGTCTGACCCAGTAGCTGCATAGGAGAGGGCTTCTTCAAGATGTTGCAAATGAAGTTCAAGTCTACTCCACCATGCGCTACACCCCAAGCCTTTAATCCTAAATCCTAAACCCAAAACCCTAACCCCAAACCCTAAACCCAGGAACTGAGTAGGAGTATGGCACCCATTCTTCCCACCAGGATGGCTCGGGGGCATCAGCCTGGACCGCTCCTTTCTCCGTGGCTGTGAGCCATGTGCCAAACGGGGCTGCTTCTATCCTGGTCGTTCAGGATCGGGTTTAGGGTTTGGGGTTTAGGATAGTGCTGATAGGGTTTAGATTTTAAGGATGAAGGTCTGGGATGATAGGGTTTGGGGCTCACGAGGTTTAAAGTTCAGGCCTCTATCCTGGCCTATGACTGCCTGGCGCTTAGGAGGATGTGGGAGCCGATGCCTCTAAGAATCCGCCTTCGTGGTCCCCCCTAACGGTGCTCATTTCCTCCTTAGGGTTTAAGGCACTCCCAACTCGAGCACCAGTAGGAGGAAGAGTATGATGATAGTCATCGTACAAGAAGTACTCACAGGTTATCCCCTCACCCCACACTGCCCTGACATACTCTCCCTCTTATTCAACGATGGGCAATTTACTATTAGGGGGTAGCGGGTTGTGTTTGAACAGGGGATTGATGCTCACCTTTCCAAATCCCATCCTCCCCCCCTACACCTACGAGGAGGGGCCCTCTAGTTTTGTTTATGCTAGGTTACGTTATCATACAGATTAGCACGGTTACAAATCCTTTCAGTGGTATCTACTGGGTCTTATGAAAAAGGTTGTGCAACTAGAGGCTTCCTCCCCATACTAAGCAACGCACAGAGTCTTGATGGGTGGATGTTCCACTGTACGATCATGGTCTCCACGGAGGATCGATCGCCAATCCACACCCCATTCCTCACTGTATTTGTGGCTAGGAGGGAATGGCTGATGGATTGCAAGCAATTAGGGAGACGAATCCCAAATATTGCACATATAAAGGGTGAATGAAGACATGGGCTATAAGCTGCTGGGAAGATAAGTAAAACCCTAAACCCTAAATCCAACACCCTGCACCCTAAAAACAATAAGCAATATGGTGACCGTACGGGGGCTACCACGGGAATCGATTCCCGCATTCCCTACCAAGCGCCGCCTAGATTCTTGCACTTGCCGCTGCATGCTCCTGGGTTGCTGTCAAGGAACTCAAATTAAATTACCATAATTAATGGGCATATATATATATACACAGTAATTAAATAATGAGGTTTCCCCAGAATAGTACTTAAATCCAATTTTATAACTCCCAAATTTCCAAATTTCCATTTCATTTTCCATTTTCTTGTTCATTTGATTCTATATTATAAGGGGCAAATCTAGTACCGTAAACCCCCTGTAGTAGCTTGAAATAGGTGCCTTAACATCAACCCTAAACCCTAAACCCTAAACCCCTAAACCCCTAAACCCTAAACCCTAAACCCCAAAACATCAACCCAGGCTCCAGGCAATAATGGAGTTATCAAATGACCAGAGAAGCGACCCGGCACATGCGAAGTCGAACTGATCTACCAGCCATTGGGCCTTTAGCTGGGAATGAAGGAATGGAAAAGAAAATGGAAACTACAGGAGTTATAGGGTACATCTATAGGGTATACATATAAGGATTACAGGGATTATATGATTATAGGAGTGGAAAAGAAAGTCGAAGCTACTATTTAGGGTTTAGGGCTTAGGGCGTAGGTTTCACGGTTTAGGGTGGGAGTGAAGGAATGGAAAAGACAATGGAAACTGCTATAACATCTTGGAGTAATATTGGGAGAATGGAAAAGAAAATGGAAACTACTATAGTCTATTGGGGCGATATTGGAAGAACGGGAAAGAAAATGAAAGCTACTATGGTATATAGGGGCAATATATTGGGATAATGGAAAAGAAAATGGAAACTACTCATCCCTAAATCCTAAACCCCATGACCAGCCATTGGGCAAACTCGCGTGTTTCCGCCCTGTTAAGGCTTGGCCCCGCAAGCGAGAACTCACCGACAAACACAATTTCACCTTGCGCTCTCGAGAAGTGTCGTAGCTGCTGCAGATCCCAAGCCTTGGTTTTCCAGTAACCCCTTCATGATACGGGCTTAGGGATGCTTAGGGTTTAGGGCTTAGGGTTCAGCAGGGCTTAGGGTTTAGGGTTTAGGGCTTAGGCTCTTTGGTTTAGGGTTCTTGGCTTAGGGTTTAGGGTCTCAGGTTTAGGTTAGGGTTCCCCAGTAACCCCTTAATAATGAGGGTACACTTTTTCCTGATATTCAGCTTTACTAAGGAGACCCCAAACTGAAAAGGGAAAAAGGGTACTACTGGGGTACCTTGAAGCATATGCTTCCTTGGCTTTCTCCAGGCCGTTCTCTTTTGAAGTCCACTTCTGGCCAGGCTCAGGGAAGTGATAGAGGTGAGTGTCCCAAACCACACGGCCATAGGTTGACTCAGGAAATGCTCCTTCCTCCCAGCGATGCATCTCATAGGTCCACTCAAACAAGACCACTGGGACTGAGGGATCCAACGACTCTCGAGCTGCCAGGATAGCTTGCTGGTAATACCTCCGCAGGAATTCGTGACCTTCATCTGTATGCAGGTGTGGTTCGCTGATGACCTGAATCCCGAAAAGATTGGGCTTCTGACTCGCGAATTCCGCCATGGCTCGAACTGCCCGCACAGAGGTTTGAAGGTTTGCTTCACTCTGCACGAAGCCTATGTGCTCCTCCTCCTCCTGAAGCTACAGGGTTTGTGTGTGTATGGTTCCATTAACTTTTTACCATTCTTAATGCAAAAGTAAGTGGAAACCGTTATGTGCCGCTTTCATTCTCTTCTCCACTAATGACCGTCCGGCCCTCCAAATGGTTTCGGTCAATCTGACCAGTCCCATTCAGGACCATCCTCTATTCAAACTACTACTTGGCGTGAGGTCGGGTGAGGCCGCTGTACTTTGCCCAGGTCAATGTGCCTCGATGCAAACGCCGCTGTGGATCTCTCCGTTCTGGGACCCCGGAAGTGCGTGGAGGTCCAGAAGAACCTTGATCCCGTACCTTGGATCAAATGGAGGTTTCTCATAATGGGGGGCCAGTTTCGAAACCTTAGGGAGATAGGGGATCATAGGAAGATTGTGAGGGGCCCCATGAAGGTAACATATGGTTTTTTTCCGTGAAATGCCTACGTTGCAGCTGCAAACAGACAGGGCACCTATGCTGTGCTCGCAAGCGAATTGCCCTTGCATGAGAGACTTAAACCCTGAACCTGCAAGACAGTAGGCATACCTGGCATAAGTCTGACGAAGGATTTGGGAATCTCAACATGCTGCAATCGGGCGCCGGTACTCAAGATTGTAGTGCTTTCGGGTGCGTGGACGGATCCTGAGGCTTTGAGACGTACCCAGAGACGGAGTCTCACCGTTTTTTTTGCTGGGTGAGCTTACTTACACATTAGGTTCCGGGAGCCTGGGAATTTCGCCAAGTCCGAAGGCCTCAATGTGAACCCGTTCACTCATCTACTTGCCCGAAAATGGCCCGTATGGGTCAGGTCCCAATTCTCGGTAGAGTGTCTTCCCAGCGTTGAACAGGCAATCCCCCAAGAGAGCCCCGAGCAATCTGAAAAGTGTTATCCACAAGCCTCCTGGCACCCAATTAAACAGGGTTTTGGGTTTAGGGTCTATGGGCCCTTATAATTACATGGGTACTTAAGGTATAGAATACCGTAGAGGGTACAAGGAAGGTCTAGGACCATGATAACGCTGATTACATAATTACGCACTTGTTATGTGCGACAAGCCTTATGATGACGTTCAAGATCTTGATTGAAGCTGCTCTGGTTTAGGGTTTAGGGTTTAGGGTTTAGGGTACTCTAAACTGTAAGCCCAAAACCCTAAAGCACCCATGTAGCTGCGGCTTGGTTGCTTGCCAGCAAAGTCAAAAATCTTGTCGAAATAGATCCGATAGTCTCGTGGCGATGCTATCCGATGGAGATTCCTGAAAGTGGAGGGCGTGCTGCTCGTTTCCCAACAACATAGGACCGTTTTGAAAATTGTATATGGGGATTTCCCAACATTAGGGGTACCTTGTTGGGGGTCCCCATAATAAGGACTATAGTATTTGGGGGTCTATATTGGGTTCCCCCTTTTTAAGGAAACTACTATATAAAGATGGCAACATATGTCTTACGTACTTAGATACACCCATGGAGGCTCCTCATTCTCGGAGTCGTCCATGGCCGAAATCGTCAGCTTTTGGGCTTCAGTCTTCATACTGCCAAATGGTAGTTGGTAAACATACGGGGGTCCCAACATAGACCCCGATATTCTACGATAGTGCGGGACCACCAAAACTTCGTAATAGAAGAAGGCAATTAGTCAACAGAAGCCAAGAGTCTTTAATCGCTCGCCTAGGCTGCTGTAGTTGCTGGGTACCTCTGGTCCACAGTTCCCCTCATAGGTCACCCAATTCCAGTAGCCACAGGGAACACGAAGGACCTGCACATTTCCGAAAATGGACGTGACACCAGCATTCTAGTTTAGACTCCCAAAATCGGAAACATCCTAAATCGAACCCGTCATTTTTGGCCCCGACCTCTACCCCGCATCGTTGCATCTCCTGCCAGTACTTGGGAACTATCGCATCTATAATGATACCCGAAGGGTTTATTTTTTGGGGGGGACCTCAAACAGGCGTAGAGGTATTGGATATTATAACTGGAACTATCCATCTGACGTCATAACAAAAGCAATGGTTGTCACATGAGCTATAGTACCTAAGGGGGTTATCTAGGGAGTATTACTGAGGTTAACGAAGGGGATACCACTGTAGGAGGTTAGACTATAGCTCACATTAGCTGGGGGGTCCTACGTAGACCTACTGTGTGGCTGATAAGAAAAGGAAATTGCTAGCGTCGAGCACGTAGTGATACGGAGAAAGGGCACAGCCTACAGTGTGTAACATGTCGTACGTCCACTGTAGCATGACCAGCAGGGCCGGGCCCAACGACTCTCCTCAGCTTAGGCTAACGGAGTTTCAGCCACAGAAATTCACAAAGACCAGGGACCAGAGTCAGCTGATTGAGGCCTGAGGGAACAATCAAAAAGTTCAATCTTCCTTGGTCCATGGGTATAGTCCCCCTTCAGCAAATAGAATATGGAGTATATGGGGGTCTTATTATAATATACCCAAGGCCATATTCTACCCACTTAAAGAGGACTATAACCCTAAACCCTAAGCCCTAAATGGTAGTTTCCATTTTCTTGTCCATTATCCCAATGTAACACCCATATTCTATCTACTTAAGGAGGACTATAGGGGGATATTGAAGTTCCAACTTCCTGGCTTCTCTTGTACCTGCACCCTGGATATCCTTCTGTTTCAGAGATTCCGGAGGTATAGTCCCCCTTAAGTAGATAGAATATGGCTTTGGGTACATTATAGTAAGATGCCAATATACCCCATATTCTATCTACCTAAGGAGGACTATATGTAGCCTAAGCAACCCACCATAAGAAGGACACCCGGGGGTTAGGAAAAGCATGGAATCCAGGCTAGCAGTCCTTGAAGTGGGACTCACAAATCGTGGCGTCCAGCCACTGAAGCATCCTTTGTTTTGCTCCAGGGCCATGCACATCCCAGAGAGCCACCCTTCGTGCATTTTTGCGGACTCCGCCAAAGAAGTTGTACGGATGCTTCATCCAATCCTCCGGAATGAACCTGGCGAGGCTTCAGGGTTAAGGCCTACTTGGCGAACTTTTACCTTATCTGATAGCGTATAATCCCGTGGTAGAACAAGGGCGACCTTGCTCTTCAGATTCAACCACCTCGCGGAGGGGCGGGGAGGGGGGGACCATTTGTAACTAAGGGCACCCAAAGTCCCACCTGTTCCCGTAGTTCACACCATGCCACTTTGAGCCAGCAGGGCTGCAGGGAACCTTACTGGTGGTTGAATAAGAGTTTAGAGTTTAAGGTTAGGGTTCAGGGTAGAAAAAATCCTTACACTTTAGGGTTTAGGGTTATTTGGGGTTTAGGCTATAACGCTGAATAAGCCCTAAATAAATGACTTCCTCATTTCCTACATTCCCTACTCACCACCAGCAAGGAACGTTGAGCCGTCCATTTGGCTTCGGCTTGCCTTTTTCCATCCTAGGCTCGGCGCATAAACCCCACGCAGTTTAGGGTTTAGGGTTTAGGGGTTTAGGGTTTAGGGAGGGGTTATGGAGGGTCAATGGAGGAGAAAATGAAAACTACCGTATCATCGGGGGTCTCGGGTGTAGGGTCATCATAAACTTACCCCCGGCCACATAACAACAAACATTTCAATGCTCTACACGTGCGGAATATCAATCATTGGTCCCGTGCTTGAGGGGTTAGGTGCTACATGCCCCAACCGATGAAAAACAGAAGAAATGGGTTGCAAAGATAGGGTTTAGGGTTTGGGTTTAGGGGCATGTTTATATCCCTGGGCTCAACCACCACAAACAGCACTTGCAACTACCCTCAGGTCCTGAAGGGGCTGCAGTTCAAGGGTGAGGTACCTGAAAACCTTAGGGAAGCTTGGGGGGGTACGAGGGAGGAGTATTTTTGGTTTGACCTTAAGCACCCCCAACCCAGTAATAGTGACAATAAGGGATAATAAGGACTATATTAGGATCCTTGTATATTCCTAACATACCACTATAGCAGGGTGGAGGGGGGTCCTGGTAAGGTTGACCGCACCTCTGAAGGACCTTGCAATTTTAAGAAAACCCTCAAGCTTAACCCGGCCCCCCAGCGCCCAACGCCGCTGAATTCTGAACCCTACGCGCCCCAAGACAACAAAGGCCCGGTAACCCCCCAACAAAATAACCCTAAACCCTAAACCCTAAAAGCCTGTAAGTTCATGTTAACAGCGGCCTTGAACTCTAAAAGTGGTGGGTGGGTTGGCTATTACAATGCTGTAGGTTTAGGGTTTAGGGTTTAGGGTTCAGAAAACCGTAGGACCTCTGGTAAAGCAATCATATTGCAGTCCACTGCTAGGACTGAAGGAACAACATGGAGCTAGGGTCTACTGTTTAGGGTTTAGGGTGGGATCCCCCAAAAAGCATCTTTCACATCAAGAGCAAAGAACAAGCTGATCGCAACAACCTTCAGACCTTCACACTCAAATCTGAAACTCACAGACCCTAGCTACATGGGTGGTTGTCAGAAATTATGGTCCTTTTTTGGGTACCCTACATATTAGGTGCCGTATTAGAATAGGGTACCCAAAAAAGGGATCATAATTTTGACAACAACCCACATAAACCCTTATCCAGGAACCTCGAACATGAAACCCAAACGCGTTCTTCTGGGAATGAAATCAAGCACTATAGTTCCTTTGCCCTGTTCGTTCTTCCTTGTCATAGACATTGCAACAAAGACTTCCAAACATGATCCAGAAAAGGATGAACTGCAAACCCTATACACCCCTACATAACCCGAGTTTTTTCATGCAACTTCTCCAATTGAGCCCTAGACCATAACCCCTACGGCCCCGAAACTCCAGATCACAACCCTAAACACTAAACACCAAACCCTTAGCCCCTAGCCCTAGACCCTTAACCCCAAGCCCTAAGCCCTAAACCCCAAGCCTTAAACCCAAAACCCCAAACCCTAAACTCCGTCACCTCAAGCCTTAAACCAAAAAAACCAAACCCTAAACTCTAAACCCCAGACCCTCAACCCCAAGCCCTAAACCCTAAGCCCCAAACCCTAAACCCTAGATCCTTCAACCGGCCCAGACTCCTCTCAAGGCATGAGCGTTGGCTCAAGCAGGCCGCTAAGCTGACCGATACCGAAAGCGGGCCCCGGTACGAAATGCTGTCCTCATGGGGTAATGTAGGTATTAGGGTTTAGGATTCTAGGGTTTAGGATTTTAGGGTTTAGGATTTTAGGGTTTAGGATTTAGGGTTTAGGATTTTAGTGTTCAGGATTTTAGTGTTTAGGGTTTTAGTGTTTAGGGTTTTAAGGTTTAGAGTCTAGGGTAGAGTTACAGAGGGATAGATACGGTTGTGTAGGGGTCTGTAGGGAGATGTAGAGTTGTATAGGATTATATTTAGGGGCATGTCGAGCTATGTTGGGTTGTATAGGGCTATACTGAGTATTGGGATTATATGGCAATAGGTAAGGATATGAGGGGTCTAGGGGCATCCTCATAAAGAGGTTCTACCGGGAGGGTATATTGTAGAGTTTGGGGCCTTGGTTTAGAAGATAACCAACCCATCGGAGGATCTTGCGGTCAGTATTTGGTGGGGTCTCACCCCATGGTTTGGGGTGAAGGGCTTTGGGTTTGTTGAGCTCGCGGTTTAGGATTTCGCTTTTGTTTGGCCCGGGACTAGCAGTTTCCTTTTTTGGCGAAAGCCGTTCTGAAATCAGGTTGACCCTTCATGCGAAATTATCCCAAATGGGAACACTTGAACTTTGGTGCATCCAAGCTCCTTCTCGAAAACTTCTGATAGAGCCTAAGAATTAGAAGGAACTTTGATCCTTCCCCATGACTTAACCTGCCAATATAAGAGCTGTGGGCTTACCATGTGGGGAGAACACCCAAAGATGAGTTTAGTCAGACCAAGAGGAAAATCCACCAAGCTCTTCAAGGGAATCTCGCGATAAAGAACCCCCTGACCTCCTCCTTAGATCGGCGTTCGGGGGTACATCACCATCCATCCAGGTTCTGAGGGGGCACACTCTGACATTTGAAGCGTGCATGAGGACTCTAAACCTAAATCCTGCCAATTTGGGTTCAGCGCATTTCTGAACTTCAGGGACCCTGACGTGAACAGAGCTGGTGTTGAAGGTTGGCTGTGGTAGGGTCCAGGCTTTATCGCTACGAGAAATTTTGCTCATCAATAAATACTCACACAAAGCTTACACAAGAGAGTTTTGTCAGCCCCCATTCTTCTATAGGATTATCAAATACAAGAGCCGACCACGGAAAACCCTAAACCCTAAATCCTAAACCCTACACTCTAAACCCGAAATCCTGACGCTAAGCGCTAAACCCTTTACTGCGCTTGGAACAACCCTAGCCATGGTGTCCACATTCAGCAGTCTGCTGCCCGCAAGGCTTGTAAGCTGCCATGCCTGGAGTCTCGACTAAAATGTGCAGGGCTTGGGGGTATAGGCTAATTAGGGCTTAGGGTTCAGGGCTTCGGGTTCAGGGTTTAGGGTTTTGGGTTCACGGTTTATAGGGTTTAGGGCTTGGGTGGCTATACTATAGGGCAAAGACCGCAGCATCCTGGGAGGCATTCAGCTTGGAGAGGGGTCCGATGTCAAAGAAACACTGATATGTATTCCTGGATAGGCGGGTGCAGATTTCAAATCCGAAAACTACATCCCCGTTCCCCTGCGATTGCAACATGCAATTCGTCCAAATGCAAACATTTGGAAGCGCAAGGTTGCCTAAGCCTGTGAAAGCTATTTGCAACACTACTATCAATTATTGCTATCATTATTGTTCCTATTAATACTATCTTTATTACTGGTACGAGTAATACTATTTTAACTACTGGTACTATGATTAATACTATTCGTATTATTCTACTGGCTATTCTTACTTGTACTATTAATACAATGTTTATTCTGGTACTATGATTAATACTATTCGTATTATCCTACTGGCTATTATTACTTGTGCTATTCATACAATGTTCATTACTGGTACTATGATTATACTATTCGTATTATTCGACTGGTTAGAACTACTGAAGCTCCGGCTGATGAAAGGTGAGGCCCACATCCACACCGCGGGCTTCTTAATATGAACTATAGTCTAAACTCCCAGTATCCCCCTTAATTACCCCTTTCGTAATCCCCTAATCCCTTACATAGCCCCTCTTAAGGAGTTTAGACTATGGCTCATATGAAGTGGGCATCACGTGGCATGATCGAAGAGATCCGCTTTTTCCACGCGTTTCCGAGCTGGAGACTTCGCTGGGCCAGCTGGGGGCAAACCACTTCCAGCTACTACTATACTATTACAATTACTATTGCTGTATTATTGTCACAGCCATCGTGAAGAAGGAGTCGTTTTTGGGTCACATTCACGTAGCTTGAATCATGGGGGTACCCGCTTGGTCGCCACGACCTACTGCAAGAATGCTACCATCCTGTGTCCGGAAGAAACAGCAGCCAAGAATCAGTTTGCGCTCCCCAGAGTTACTAGGAAAAGGATCCGCCGGGTCAAAAGCCACGATGGTTGCGAGGATCGCGACCCTGACCCACCCATCCCTTTGACTATTGCATCTTTTCATCACGCTGACGCAGCAGTGTAATTCGCGGCGCCTTCAACGGGGACGTCGTGACCGCTTGCCAGACGTTCGCCAACTCTTGTCAAAAGCTACCCTCCCAATATGAACCCTCAACACAAACCGTACATGAAGCGCCACAGGACCAACATGCAACCTGCCTGAGCCGGGTTCATCTTGAACATGAAGTCAGTTGGCAAAAGCAGCGGAGTGGGGAAGAACGCCGCAATGGCAGGGGCTCCGTGCTGTCGCTGCACTGAGCTAGGCAAGATGTTCCTTCACAGGTCTTGTTCTATGGGAAATGTTTACAGACATATGAGCCATAGTCTAAACTCCTAGTATCCCCCTCAATAACCCCTATAGTAGTCCCATATATAATCCCCTATATAACCCCCTTTAAGGAGTTTAGACTATAGCTCATATGGAACTTGAACAGATTCTCTAGGCGGCAAGCTTGTCTCAGCTGACCAGAATGAATTGTCTGTAAAAGCTTCGACAGCTTACTGATTGCGATAGCACGCCTCCTACGAACTTCCCTTCCATGTCTTTGTAAGGCAGCTCATGGCTGCCGCCTCAAGCCTGGAGCTAATTCCTGAATTCCCAAAATATTCCCTACAATCCGTTAGGGGCCGCATGACAAGCCAGGGAACTAGGCCAGGAAATGGGAAGAATTGATAGTAGTTTCCACGTGATTTTCCATTATCCCTATACAACCCCAATATACTATGGTGGTTTCCATTTTCTTTGCCATTATCCCTGTACAATAGCAATCATAATCGTAATGACAAAGCACTTCTGAACTATGCCAGGAGATCCGAGGGCCAAGTGGCCACATTCCAGGTTGCGGCATCTGCCATGTGCGACAGGACGATGGCAGTGTGCTGGAACTATAGCCCCCGTTGAGTAGATAGAATATGGGATTTATGGGGATCTTATTATAGGCACTGTATATACCGCATCAAACCCTTCATCTCCAACATGATGCTTGTTCCATGTATCTAACAAACACAGGAGTCCAACGATGTGTCGAAACTGTGGCAGGACCAATTGC